CGTAGCTTGGTATATAACGTTTTCTTAAAGGCATTCACTCTGAATGGTAGAATGGTGTTTGCATTTGATACTTATAATACCCTCAATTTTGTGATTGGGTTTCTTTATCAAATATTCCTCTTCTCTGTGCAGTTTGACAGAGTTACAATTAAATATCTTACCAATTATTTTTTGGGTAGCAGTAGTCGCCGCTTACAGCTGCAAATAATGGAACCGATTTCCTTTGATGCGTCCGACGGTCGCTTCAGTGAAAGTACAGGTGGACTATATCACGTGTTCGATCACTGTAACAGTTTTAGATACACGTAAGTTTAATAAGATCTAAAAACAAATCCAAAATTACATTAGGTGGCTCTATCCTCAAGATATTTAGCACGCTATGCAATAAAATCTGCGATAACCTGCATTGAATTAGAATTACATTTTAATTAATTAATTGCTTACATATATACGCATGTAGATCTGAATATTCCTACATTGCTAGCTCGATCTAAGAATTTGTTCATATCTAAGTAACTAGCCAATTAAGGTTATTCATTTCTTATACGTGTGTACGGCAGTGTAATCATTATATATCCAAATATCAATCTTGATACGTCTATTGATGTTTTTTATTGATATTTATTAATTCGTTTCAAAATCGTTCTGCTTAAACCAAAATCTAAATAGTGAAATATATTTAGAAACAAAAATAATTTTTACCCTTGAGCTAATGAAATACATGAGATCCCTACACTCCCAGACAGAGGTTTACCAATTCTATGCCAGTCGCTATTTTATTTAGCCTCAATACAATTAGATGTTGACTACACTTTCAAATTTTCTACATTTATTTTCTCTCAGTCTTTTTCCTTACACTTGTTGTCTTCATTCTCAAGACCTGGAGGTAGTATAGGTTATTCGGTCCGATTTGATTTTCTCAATTCAGCTGGTGTAAAACATATAAACAGACAAAAGAAAGTATATATATATATATATATATATATATATATATATATATATATATATATATATATATATATATATATATGCATATATATGTTGAAAGAGACAGATAAATAAATAAAAATACATGTGTTTAAAATTGGCTGTACTTATGCAGTAACAGTCTCTAGCATCGGAGATAAAGCGTCTGTGGATACAGAGTGTATGGATATAGGAATTAACTATTCATGGTGACTGTCTGGTTTACCCTCTATGAGATATTCAAACCAAATATGTCTATATATTAGTGTATCTATTGCATCTCTTTCTCTTTCTCTCTCTCCTTTTACACACACACAGACACACACACAAACATATATATATATATATATATATATATATATATATATATATATATATATATATATATATAAACATGATAGATAGGGAGATAGTTAAAAATGTAAGTAGATACATCTAAGATAATGTACCTAGGAGGATACTGAAATTTCGCAGCTGGCTGAATCTGTTTCCCAAGATCCGTATTTAAATAACTAAATATATGAATACTGATTTTAGGAAGTGAGTCGGGTCGAGGATATTTGGCCAAATATGCATGCGTGCGTGTGTACACCCTTACAGAGAGATATACTCTGATATATCTGAAATTTTACACGTGCGCACGCCACACACACACACACACACACACACACATATATATATATATATATATATATATATATATATATATATATATATATATATATATATAGATAGATAGATAGATAGATATACATTCAATCATTGACTTTCCAATGTGCGTAGCTAAATTATTACTTTGAATTTGAATTAATCCCTAAGGAAGTACACGCGTAAACGCATCTGTTTCTATCTATCTATATATCTATCTATCTATCTATCTATCCGTCTGTCTGTCTGTCTGTCTGTATGTCTTAATATCTATCTCAATCTTTACATATCAATCTGTACATGTCTATCTATCTATCTATCTATCTATCTATCTATCTATCTATCTATCTGCCTGTCTCTGTACATATCTATCTATCTATCTATCTATCTATCTATCTATCTATCTATCTATCTATGTTCTTTATTATTTATCTGTATGCCCTCATTCTCCAATAGTTTTATTCCTGTTATTGGTAAGCCATGACATTTCAGCAAACAAGCGATCATGTCTCTCTAAAACGTTTTGTTGTTTTAACAGCTTTCTTATATCTGTTTACTCAATTTCAAGTAGGTTATCTCTCTTTCTCTTTGCCTTTACTATTTCCTGTGTGTGTTAAAACCTCATAGACTTTTTCACATTGTGACCCAATCATTTTCAGCTGTTTTATGTGTTATTGTTAACAGAAGTTTCTTAGTAGTTTCCTTGATCATTAAAACTTTCTCCTTTCTCACATGTCCTGTCCATGGTTTCTCAGCATTTGTCAATTAAATTATGTCTCTGTTGCTTCGAATTTCTTTCTGGTTTCACTGCTATATAGAAGATTTGATATTAGGTAGTAATTCAAGCACTCTTTTCGTTGTTACTAATGGTATTTTGCTATCTATTAATACCATTTTTACAGTGGGGTTCACTCTGTACAACGCCCGGGAGCTAGTTTAGGTAGATGGTCACGGAGTAAGAGACACAGTTTATGCGGATATATGGGAAAGAAAACGGCGGTTGACCTTAGACTTCAACAGGTTAAGATTGTACGGATCAATAATTGGTTTTCACATAGTAGTGATTCGCGGCAAGAAGCTTCTCAAGTGGATTTTACTTCTCACCAATGTCAAAAGGAGGGAATGAAAATGGTTGGCTACAATACGCCTAGCATGGCGGGTCCCAGACATGAATGCTAGAACTGGTGGAACTAAGACATTTGTAGAAAAACTTGCAGTTAAAATTGTAGAAAAATACAATAAATTGAAGAAGTATCACTAAGATCTCAATTCTGTGCAAAAGTACTTGACTCTCCTACACATCCGTCGGTATTTATGACGGACACCAGCCATCAGTGAAGGGGAACACAGGTGTACGCATTATATCACAACCCCTCGTCACATAGAAGAATCGTCTAGCTTGGTGTAAATATAGCAACGGCAGCCTGGTCAGCTAAGTATCAGCGCAAATACGGCAACACTTCAAATTCAAATTCTCACATTATTATTTATTAACCAATCAGCGAGGTTGTCTCAAATGCAATGCAAACTTTAAAAATAGCAGACAACCATATCTTGTCGTATGCTAAAAAATGGAGGTTCACACCCAGAAAATGATTAAAAATCTTTTCCCTCCTCAAAATCGATATTAAATCTTTGGAAATATATTTATTAACCAATAAAACTTTTGAATTTAATAAATCTAACTTTTATCTTCCTGTTATTCGATTTTTTACTATAAATAGCGTAACGTAAATTAATTAATCTTTCAGTATATCTTCGGTCAGGATGTGAAAATACTGATTACTCAAATTTTCCCATAATCACATTAATTTATAAAAGTATTAAAGCTCCTTTAAGTAAACTATTTCTCACTTTTAAAGTATTTACATAAACCAATTTGCATAGTTTACATTACGAAAATACCCAAGTGACATATAAACAAAGTGTTGTATTTGCGCTGATACTTAGCTGACCAGGCTGCCGTTGCTATATTTACACCAAGCTAGACGATTCTTCTATGTGACGAGGGGTTGTGATATAATGCGTACACCTGTGTTCCCCCTCACTGGAATATGATTGGCTGGTGTCCGTCATAAATACCGACGGATGTGTAGGAGAGTCAAGAGCATTAGTCTGAGAGCTAAGTCTATAAAGACGCCCATTGGACTACGCCATTGATCTACACTTCTTACCTGCGACTACGACGCGTACCAGTCGATTACTGCTACTGTGTACTACTTGGTTATAGTAGCCAAAACCACTTAGCTACTTCGTTCAAATATATCCCTTTCCGGGGCATATTAGGTTGTAGGATGTAAAATAATTTATCACCCACAAGGACTCTGATACTTTTTTGTACTCTATCGAGTCTGGGAAGTGATGACTGGGTGGCTCCACCCAAATGTGACTCCATTTCAGTGCTGATTTGGCACTTGTAAAGGAAGAGTCAGGTACTTACTGAAGCGGTACAGGGAATCGACCATTTACCCCGTCACCATACTACCATCACCACCCAATCTTTAGTGATGGATCGCATTTACGAGTTCCACTTCAGGTCTGGGTTGAGTTTAAGGCCCAATATTCGCTAAAGATACGGTGACCCCCTAAAGAAACATCCATCTATCGTGACTGGTTGTAGTTCAGGGTGTGATGATAAATCAATTTCTGGAAATTTGTTATCCTTCTACATAATATGAGCCGTGCCTTTTGTCGAGAATCAAGCTTTCTCTTTCCATGATATTAATCGTTAAGACGTTTTTTTTTTCTGTCCTCGACTGCGTTGTGTATAATTCCTTTCAAATTTCTTTCTGAATCACTCATTTGTCGTGAATTGTTAAGGTTACCTTCGCCAGCAGTTGGCACATCTTCTAGACCAGTGCTACTCAAAGTGTGATACGCATCCTGGAGCCGTTACGCGAGACATCGTCTGCCAGTAACGCGGATAGTTTTCAGGAAACAATGAGAGACTGCTGGGATATTTGACTCGTTTTTGTTTTTAATATTTTCATTTTCATTTTGGTTTTATATTTTTTATGGTCCCATTTTCAATTACTCATTCATATTAAAAGACATTGCCCTATAACTAACGAATGCACTATAATGAAAAACAAAATAGTGAACTAAAATACGTACGACAACACCATCATGATAGCGTCTGACAGTGTGGAAAAGACACCTAGAAATACCAAAAGCAATATTCCTGAACATATTTTTCTGCAAAATTTTAAAATTTATGCATCTTTTATTTTATTTTATTCATTATATTTTTATGGTATAAATGAATAATACTGCGAATGTTCAAATAATATTTTCTCAGATCGTTATTATATGGCACAAATATGGTACCGGTCCCTGGCACACTGGGAAGTTACTTCAATGATGACTGACCTTAGAATGAATAAGACATCATGTCCTCATCTTTAGTGAAGATGACCAAGACCATGAAATAGGATATAGCTCAAAACAATTGTGGCGTGGAAGACAAATATCCTAAAACCCCAGCTGTATTGAAAAGCTTCGCTCGTCAGTCCCTCGTACGTTGAAAAAAACTGACGGTACACCACATCAGAAAGCTTGAAAATCACTAGTCTAGACCTCTCAACGGCATCGCGCTGCACAGGTTAACTAAATTCAGTGATAACATACATCATCTTACTTTTATGTAACGATTGAACACATCCATTATCAACACGTTGGATCTTTGTTCTCAGTAGAAATTACAGATTGTGGCAAACTTTTTCTGTGTAAATCAAAATTTCGGAACATTTCAAGCGTTTTTTCATGTCATATTACATAGAGATTTACATGTGTCATTTAAGGTTCCCTTTGATATCATTCTGATTTTTTTTTAAATCGTTCACCCCAAGCAAGGAGACAATGCCGCTAAAACGCAAGGAGCGAAAGTGAAAGAAGACTATGAATGGTGAGGGTTGGGGAAACGGTAAAAAAAAAAAGAAACAGGGCTCAGGAAAGAGAAAATGTCGATTGATGCTGCAATTATTTTTTGAAAATTTTAGTTATCAAGGAAGTAAGAAATCGGGAGTTCCACAGATGAGAAGTACGAGAAAAGAAACTGTTAAAATGAAAGTGGCGGTTCTATCTAGCTAGTTCAACAGTAAAACGGTGAAACTTAGTTGCCAATCTGGTAGCACGCCTAAATTCATGGAGTCGTGACAGCAGGAAAAAAAACCTCGTGAGGGCAGTTATCATGAAATTATTTGTAGAAAAGACGGAGAAAAGACACGTCGGTGAGAAAATGACTGATGCCGTGATACCTGGTTAGTATCGATCACATTATAGATCCTTCTTTGGATTTTTTCAAAAATCTCGAGGAGCAAAAGACCAGATATGGCAATAATATTCAATGCACAGTGGAATGGTAGATTTATATATGTTCAGGATGGACTCAGACGAGAAATATTTTCAGGCATGACACAGTGAAACAACTTTCCTCGCAGTAGATGTAGCAGTTGATTCGATATAGTCACTCCACCTCACATCAGTGGGAAGAAATAGGCTTTCTTGTATTAGTATCTTGAACAAAGCCTTAGTATTCTTGTTCTATTTATTTACAAGCTCTTTTAATTAGTATCCTTATGGTATTGGTAATATTAACCGTTTCCTTATAAAGAAACATTTGACATTCAGTGAACAGACAGACAGTGATACTAGAGTTACGCACTTTTTACTACTAATTTATCGACCTGCAATGGAAGTCTTTACTTTGTAGCAAATAAAACGAGATTAACAGTCGATAGCAGGAAGGTAGGATATATGGTTGCAATCAAAAGAAAAAGCTCCAAGATGTGAACAACGAACTGAAGATGTCAAAACTAAACAATTACAGAATTTTAATTATCTTGGAAGTGTTTAAACAGACTACGGAAAGTGTGACACCGAAATCCGAAGAGCCATTAGAATAGAAAAAGATGCTGTCCAGAATTTTTCTTTTTGTTCTACGTGTAGGGTCCGTTCAGATGTAGGAGATCATGGCTCTCCACCACCCTCTATCCCTTTCAGCTCTCAGCAAGTTCCTTCCCTCTGCTTCCTCCTCCAGACCACGTTCTGTCATCCACTTACTTAAGCCCGCCAGGTGTGTCACGCATTGTTTTCCCTTGTCTCTCTTTCCCTTTATTTAACCCGTGAGTAACAGATTCTCCAGGCTTTCCTTGCTCATTAGGTGTCCCAGAAATTTCAGCTGCCTCTTCCTGATGTTAAATATAAGCCTCCTTGCATCCTCTCTAAGACCTCATCGTTGCTCACACGCTCGGTCCATGATATCCTTAGCATCTGTAGAACCACATCTCTGACACCTCGAATCTCTTTGAGGAAATTGTCCAACATTCGCTGTTGTAAAGAAGGACAGATGTCACACAACAGCTCAGTATTCTTTTCTTCGTTTCCAAAGAAATCCTCCTGTCTCGCAATACTCTGCCCATCTTTTGGAATGTGACCATGGCCATCCCAATACGTCTATAGATCTCAGTGTCGCACTTACCGTCC